ATTTACATTCCCACCAACAGTGGGAATGTAAATTGATACAGCCACTATGGAGAACAGTATGGACGTTCCTTAAAAAACTACAAATAGAACTATCATGTGACCCAGCAATCCCACTACTGGGCTTATACTCAGAGAAAACCATAATTCAAAAAGACACATGCACCCCAATATTCACTGCAGCACTATTTACAATAGCCAGGTCATGGAAGCAACCTAAATGCCCATCGACAGAAGAATGGATAAAGAAGATGTAGTACATATATACAATGGAATATTACCCAGTCATAAAAGGGAACGAAATTGGGTCATTTGTAGAGATGTGGATGGATATAGAGACTGTCATACAGAGTGAAGTAAGTCAGAAAGAGAAAAACCAATATCGTACATTAACGCATATATATGGAACCTAGAAATAAGGTACAGATGAACTGGTTTGCAGGGCAGAAATAGAGACACAGATGTAGAGAACAAACGTATGGACACCAAGGGGCGAAAGTGGTGGCTGGGGGTGTGGGATGAATTGGGAGATTGGGATTGACATGTATACACTAATAAGTATGAAATGGATAGCTAATAAGAACCTGCTGTATAAAAAAATAAAATTAAATTCAAAAAAAATTAATATATAATCATGCACTTGTACCTGTACAAGTGTTTAGTGTTGTTTTATATTTTTCTTAAGTGGGATGCTATTGAATTCAGTATTCTAAACCTTGTTTTTTATTCTTTTCATGTCAGTAGATATTGATTTACATCATTCTTTTAAATTACTACATAATATTTCATAGTAGGGCTTTACTATGGCTTATGTAGCCATTTATGAATATATCGATGGGTATTTAGGTTGTTGTCCTTTTTTCTTTTCTTTGCAACTATGAACTGGGGGTAAGAATATCTTTGTGCGTGCCATTTAAAATACATGTTTGATGCATACAGGATAGATATTGAGAAATGGAATTGCTGGGTCATTGAGAATGAATAATTACCATTTTCAAAGTTACTGCCACGTTGCTTTTCAGAGAGCTTTAAATAATGTTTTTTCTATCAGTTGAATGGGAGAATACCATTTCCTCACATTCTTGATTGGTAGTATCAACATTTTTTATTTTTTGCCAATTATATGGTGAAAAGTTACATCTTATTTTAATTTACACGTCTGCAATGACTAGGGAGGATAACATTGATTTTTACATTTACTGATCATTTGATTTCTCCCACTCCATAACTGTCTAAGCTACGCATATACTTGTAGCCTTACTTATGAATTCTTAAATTAGCTTGTTAAACTATATACTAAATATTATTAGGATATTTGGGGGATTACATTGTCTTTATGGAACAATTTGGAGAGAACTGGCATCATAATATATTGAGACCATTAATAGTCTCCATTTATCTAGGCGTTTTTCTATGTCCTATAGTTTACTTTTTCCCCTGTAAAGGTCTTATATATTTGTTATGTTTATTCTTAGGTGTTTTATACTTAGGTTTCTGTTGCAAATTCCCTTCCATTACATTTTCTAACTATCTATTGCTGGTGAACAGGAAAACCACCAGTTTGTGAATGATTACCTGCTATCCAGTCACTTTGCTGTACTCTGTTATTATTTGTCAGTTTTCATCACACTTGTTTTCACAATCTACCATTTGGTAGACTAATACTACCCTGGAGCTGCCACCTCTTATACCAAGTCCCTAGGAATAACAGAAAAGTTATAAGAAGAATACAATCCATAGCATGTAGAAATCTTCTTCTGGAGATAGTTTGTACATATACAAACACACTTTTTCTTTTCCCACTTATACAGCACAGTAGTATACTGAATAAACAGTTAATCATTTTCTGCTGCCTTCTGATAAGAGTGTTCAATGTCAGTACACAGAGAGGATCCCCTTCTATGTAAGGGTGCCACTATATGGATGTACAATAATTTACCCAGTGCCCCATGGAGGAAACCGGTGCCCAATCCTCTATGATTACAATGAAAATACTTGTATGAAAGGCTTTGCATCAATATCTTCAGGATCAATTCCTAGCAGTGAAATTCCTAAACCTGGATCAAAAAGTATATACACCTTCAATATATATATTATACATATATATTTTTTGGCCATGCCGCGTACCTTGAGGGACCTTAATTCCCCAACCAGGGACTGAACCCACACCCTAGGCAGTGAAAACGTGAAGTCCTAACCACTGGACCCCCAGGGAATTCCCACACCTTCAATATTGACAGCCACCGTCCAGTTGCCCTTCATAGCGGCTGTATCAATACACATTCGGAACAACAGTACATCAGCATGCTGTTTGCCTACACCTTCAGCAATACAACAGATGCTGTTTAAAACTGCTTGAAAGGAATATAGACGGAATTGGTGTCTTAATTCTTGCTGTAGCAGATGCTGTTAATGTCCCAGCTAGTAACTTTACCTGCAGCCATAAGTAACAGTTCCTGCACATTCTGACAGCATCCAACTTGTGTCTGAATCTTTCTGCTTCTCTTCCCGAGTCATTCTGAGGTGTCACGGAACGTGCTCCACCCTGCAAGGGTGGACTTTCCAGGATGTCTGGGAAGAAACAGTCTATCAGCCTCTCGGCGGCAACCCCCAACCAATAAAGAATAGGAATCAGTGGATAAATATGTAAGCTTCTCCATCTCTCAGCAGGCGATTCTTGCTGGTTCCTCAGAGTGAATTCAGCTCTTGTTGACTACAGCAGTAATCTTCACTTTAATGTATCCTTAATGACTTTTCTACCTTCTCTATCTCACTTTCCCTACCTCCTCTCTTCCTGATATCACCTCCCCAGTAGCTACATGCCCCCTAATCCTTGCCTCAAGGTCTGCTTTTCCGGAGACCTAAACTGGTACCAGAGATGGCCATGGAAAGTTGACCCTCAAGAATGGGACTAGAGAATTTGCTCACTCTCTGGTCAGGAGGCATCAAGAACCTCATTGCTGGTCTAAGACGGGGTAGTGACAACCCACAGCATGCTGTAGCAGCACGTTTATTAAGACTTTCATCTCTGTTTGGGAATAAGGAACGGGTGGAAGGGGCCAGGCTGGGGAATACGTGGTAGCTCTTGAGTGGTGTGGGACAATGGTATTCATAAGGATTGTAGAGGTGGCTGACTTCTGTTAACTCTCCTGGAAGCCTTGAAGAAAGAGACTGGCACACCAGGTCAGCCAACTATCAACTCAGGGCATGTCAAGAGAGCCAGAAGGCTTTCATGGCTGATTTTAATTAGACTCTTACCTCTTGCAGCAGGAGGGCAGACTATGCTGAACATTAGCCTCAGGATACAATAATAAAAATGTCAGAGCTACAGTGGGATGCCGAATGCAGGCCAAAGCAGGTGTTCTGCGTTAATGTAAGGGCCCTGAAAAGGAAGAAATAGGACTGTGAAACTTGGAATAGTTGTATCTGGGTGAATGCGCTATACAATCTTAACCCCACATTTCCTTGAGTCTTCTGGGCGGGCATGCTTATTTATAAAAAGACCTTCCCTTTTCTCCTGTGTTCTCTAATAGTTTCCTTCCTTTTTTTTCCCATTCAAATTTGACTGAATTATAATGTATTTTGTTGCAAGGAATAAATTGGGAATCCAACTTTTTTTTCTTTTTTGAGACAGCTATCCAGTTCTTCAGGATCATTAATTGAATAATTCATCTTTCCCCATTGATATCAAATGCCACCCTGGTGACATATTAAATTCCATATGCATTTGGGTCTTGTGGGAGAGAATGCTAGTTATTTACCAAAGCTTTTCCTTCCTCTCTCTGGGCTCACAGCACGTTAGTTTCCCAGCTTCGACTGCAGTCAGGAAGTGATGGACCTGGCACGTAAAAGCTTCCCACACATGATCCTCCATCCTCTTTGCCTTCTGCCATGTGGAACGGAGATATCCTCCAGAAAAACTTGAGAAGCCACATACTGAGCATGGCAGAGCTAAAGATGCAAGGAGCATGAGCTCCAGAATCCTTGCCTGGAGGAGAGCCTGCCAAGCAGGAACACCTGTTTTGGACTTTATGAAAATGAGAAATCATCTTTCGTTTTATGAGCCATTCATTTTTTTTCCTTTTTTCTGTCTTTCTTTAAACCACGTATTGTTACTTTATCTAATATAGGTCTACTTCTGTACTCTATTCTGTTCCATTCATCTGTCTGCCTGCTCACGTGCCAGTAATGCGCTGTTTTAATTAATACAACTTTATAATGTATTTTGGCACATAGTAGGGCCAATCCCTTCATTAACTTTTATTTTACAATTTTTTTCCTGGTTTCCCTCCTTTTCCATATGAACTTTAGAACCAGTATCACTAGCCAAAATAAAATCTCCTTGCTATGTTTATTGAAATTGCATTATATGTAGAGTCTGATATGGGAAGAATTGACATCTTTATAATGTTGAATCTTCTTATATAAACATCTTTCCATAGAATTCATGTCTTCATTTATATTCTTCAATACCTTCGTAAACTTCTCCTTGTATAGGTGGTAATTTTTCATTTAGTTTATTCATAGGTATCTTTTTCTGGTGAAGTAATGCTATTATAAGTAAGACCTTTTCCTCTGTTACATTTTATAATTGGTCATTGCTTATATAGGAAGTCTACTAGGATGATGTGTTGCGTCTTAGCATGACGTCAAATAAAAATAAAATACCAGTCTGCCACCCAAGAAAAGCACTTAAAAGCAAAATAAATCTTTAAAAGTTTTTAAGCAAAATAAATCTTAAAAGAAGTTTAAAATGTCTATACTGCAATACCAGAAAAACAGACTGTATAAAGAGAAGGTATGTTGTCAGTTTATTCAGAATGGTCAGAGAATGTCCGTCCCCCTTTTGGATTGGAATTCCAAGAGCTACCCACATTTATAAACTTTCCATACTATTTAACAAATAAGCATTGTCAAGTTGGGGTTTGAGGAGGGTCAATAACATCACCATTCTCCACTAAGCTCCTAAGCAACTTAGAAACGGGCTCAGGTATTCAGCCAGATGGAGGTAAAAGTGTCATCATTATTGAGAAAGCTGATAGTAGAAAACAAGGCTTAAATCTGTGGCAACAACTTGTTTCCTACATTGCACCCCAGAGATATAGAGACTTTGCCATCCACTGGCACCACTGGACAACCATGCCTGTTCTTACAAACTTCTGGCATGGAAGGGCAGAGCAGAACATACTTCGATAAGAAGGCATCCTAGAATTCCCTTGTTTCACTCTTCCTTGCCTGGGGAGGAGTGAGTAAAAGGGCAGAGCAAGGTCAGGACTGTAACGGAAGGTGACTCCACATGGAAAGAAAATCAGAAGTGATGAATAGTGTTACCCTCTGAGAACTAGCAAAGCTATGTTCTAAGAGCGATATTCTTTTTAGGGACCAAAAGTTCGTATCTACGGTTTTTGGACGCTAGTGTCAAATATTAGATTTGAATTTTAGGCAGAAAATCAAACTACATGGATTTTTATGTCATGCTGACATAAGCATTGTGGAACATGGTTATCAGGTTTTATCTGTAAGAGAAAAGATCACAAAAAAGCTGTAAAACTGACACGACTGCCTTTCTTTTGTTTCTAACAAAGTTATTCTATGGACACAATCATTAGATTACAGGTATTATCTTTTAGCTCTTTTGGGCTCATGTGCTTAACACATCCAGTCCTTAGTAAACGTTTGTTCCTATATTAATACCTGTATTTGTTCAACTTGCTCTCAGAGACAGCATGCTTGCAAGAGGTTATATAATACAGAGCACATAGTAAGGTTTATTACTGTCAGAACTCCAGTGACCACTGGTATTTTCTGTACTCAATTCATTAAACATTTTTTGAGGCTTTATAATATGACAGTGACTATGCCAGAGCCTGGGGCTATAAAGACGTATGATGATGCAGTCGGGGGCCCATGTCTACCGGGGAGGACAGATGTGGACAGCTGACTACTGTGTGACGCTGGAGCACAGTAAGGAGACCTCTAGGGACATGGGGAAGGCCTCGAACCATGCCTAAAACAAAGACTCTGACAAGTTACGTTGCCCAAGTTCACCTAACTTGTAACTGGCAGAGGTAGAGTTTGAACTTGGACTGATTTCAAAGCCACCAGTGCCTCAGGTGCCACTCTGTGACACTGGTGCCCTTATTACCCAGGTCTGCTCCAGGCGGGGCAATGCTGCAGGGGGTAGACGGTGCTGCTGTACAGCTCCCAGGGTGATTCTGTCCGAAAAGCTGGCCTTCAAGCCTGGCTCCAACTCTGACTTCAGCCCCGTCTCGCCCTCCCTGAGTGCTCAGGGTCACGTCTGACAGGCTGCTCCAAAACCTTACTGGACCAAGCTGACAGAGGCGTTCCCCCTTCTCGAGCGATTCCACTTTCCTTACCCTTCCACAGCGGAGGCTGCTCCGTGGTAAGACTGAGGCCCAGATGAAGGGAACGCTTGTGGAGGGTTTGGAAATGATAGTGAATTGCTTGGAGATACTCACTCTACCCCACTTCCCTGTCATGCTCTGGTTGATTCATGAGGGACTTTTTTGCTGGAGGTCACCTATAAATAAATCAGCAACGTAAAAAATGGTAAGGATAACTCTAGATTCTATGAAGGTAATTTATAAGTATGGGGGTAGCAACTTCTAGACATTGTCTACATCACAGGTTTAGCCCCATAAATTCTAGTGTTATCTACCAGCAGGCAGGAAGGGAAGAGCGGAGGAAAAAAAGCTGCGCCAGGCTTTGGCTTCCCTAACCCCGCTGATTGCACAAGTTTTAAAATTGTGAATAAATCGATGCTTGCACCAATTCAAGACAAGAGTTTTAAATTATGAGTATCTCTGCTTAAAACCCCTCCATTACTTCTCTCCTTATGGGCAAGGACCTGCCTTCTTTGAATAAAGAAAGTGAAATTCCACTATTCACAGAAATACAGTTGAAGTTAATGTGGGATTTAAAAAGATCAGGGGTTTAGGAGGCATGAGAGCAGGTGAGACCTGTAACAGCCATCACAGGACACTCTAAGTAGGGCTGAGTTTCGAAATAACAGCCAATGTTTGCTGAATGGCTCCTGTGTTAAGGGCTTTATTATGTGTTATTCCTCACAATATCCTGATGCGTTAAGTTCTCTCATTGCAAAGGAGAAGCTGAGGCTGAGGTCACACAGCTGGAACATGGAGAAGGGGGCAATGGAGCCAGGCAGTGGCCCTTGGAAGTTCACACTCTTACCACGATGCACTGCTCTGTTTCAGTCATGACACTTCTTGTCTTGATCCTGGCATGATCTTATCAGCTAGGGTGCTAAGGCACTGATGAGCACTGCTGATGTCTGATCCATCAGCTTCAGAGATCTGCTTGCTGGTGAAGAATGTTTTGAAGTTAGAGACATGGTAGGAATGCTGTAGCTGTAGGCTGGCTGACAAGTCACCAAGGAAGGTCTTCAAAGGAAGAGACACTGTACACCCTGAGGCTTGCCTCAGCCTCTGAAATGGGCTCCTGCTTCTGAATCACAGGAACCAAACTCACAAGATACTAATGTACAGAATGCCAACTTACTAATTTCCAGTGAGTGACTAGAATATTCACTGTTCAGAGAACTCTCTCCTAAGAATCAAGGTTCACAGAAGCCTCCTTAGTCACTGTAACTTCATTTGCTGAACTCAAATAACGAATAAAAGGAAAGGATGGCACTAATGTTTGGAATTCCACGAGGGCAGCTAGACCTACAAAACCAGAGGCGGTCCAGGACAAGTTAGTTCACAAACAAGCACTTCAAGAGAGTGTTGCAACTCAGGATGACCAGGTAGTACAGCACAGTCCAATAGTGAGTATTTTTACATGTGATCCTCATGTATCTTGAGCATTTCTGAAAGATGTCCAACAAAAACTCCCTAAGTTTCATGAAAGTGCTTTCTCTTAAGTTTGGTGAGATAATCTTATACTAAGAAATATCCTGTAAACTATTGGCAGTACAATGCATATATTGCCAGCAATGTGGGACCACTACTGCTAAAACCAAAGGAAGATTTGGAGAGAATGTTATATAAAAAGTGAAGGACTTGACTAAGAGCTCCTTGAGAACCTAGAACACTTACAGATAGATGTCTACAGAAAACACTTCTAGAGATTTAAAAAAAAAAATTCCCCCTAGATACTGGGAAATAGGTACTTGTCAATTATCAAAGTTATGGCCTAATCTTACATTTAATTCACATTTTTCAAAAAAGCTGCTCAAAATCCCATGCTTTAGTGATAGTTGTAAATAATCCAAGGCATGGTACTGTGGTATTCCTCATTGGCACTTAGAACACAAATGAAGGATGTCTTGATAAACTAAGTATCTTCCTATTTGAAATGTGCAGAGACATAATTTACTAAGTTGGTTATGGTCAACAAGTAGGGACTGAATTTTATTCTTCAATGAGAATTACGGAGCATGAGAACCAAATGATCTGAATGTTCCTAAAAAGGAAATTGATGCCCTTTTATTCTACCTGAGTTAAAACAATGATGAATCTCATCAGAGTTCATGGGAGTCGTAATAAATGACTACTAAACCAGACTTACCAAGGCTATGAACACACCAAGATCATACACAATTAATTAGTGTTACAGTTTGGTTTTAAATCTTTAAAACCTCAAAACACACCTTTTTATTTACTTTAGCTGATAAAATAACTTACTTATAAAAGTAACATCATTTACAGAACTCTAATTTTTCAAAATTTAAAAATAAACAATAGCACTCTTTTGCATTCTGATTTTACAGGGAAATAAAGCTTTTTGGCACATAATGCTCTATCAAAAATGGAAAGCTGAATCAGTTTGCTTTGCTTTTCACAACAGAAATAAGCATTTATACTTATTAGCATTGGGAGATCAACTTAATGACAAGAAAAGTTTGCTAGAAAATAGAATCATTGGAAAAATAGGATCTGGTGCCACCTACTGAGTGGCAATGGCAATGTGACCTTGGGTATTAGCCATCAAGTTAGGTAACACACTATAATTTTAGCTACACGCAACTGTACCCCTGTGGTCAAGGCTTAAAAGCTACATGCAAAAATGAAAACGACTGCTGTATTAGGAATGAGGATTGATGGATTTTTTTTTTTCTTTAAATGCCACCTGACCTTTTAAAGGAAAGGAAACCAAGGAGGTGGCTAAAAATGATTACTGAACACGAGGAATACTGAAGAGAGGAAGACTTTGGCAAATTAAGTAAACAAAAAGTTCTATGATCAAGAGTGACTTAGGTAGGGTCTCTTACTCATGGAGAGACTGGTGGAAGGCAGTTACGTCCTTGGGTATTTATGGTAGATCAGAATTAAGGACTTAACTTCTTTCCCCTACTATTTACATAAAAAGCTGGTTTATTTGAAAAAATTATCAACCCAGACTGCCAATAAAGTGGCACTTAGGAACTATTGATATAATGGTAATTGACACCCATTCTGACCATCTGGAGGAACAAAAAACCCTGGAGGGTTTTTCTGATTAGCAAAGAAAAGTTACTTTTTGTTTGGTTGAATTTACTCAAATAGACCCCCTCAATACCAACAATGCTGAGAGCATTTCATAAGAGTTGGGCCACAATCCTAAGTCTTGGAAAGGTAGACTTCCTAGAACATTTTCATGGACTGGCAAGTTTTTTTATTATTATTATTATCATTATTTTGCTAGTAGCTTCTGAGAATGTTACCTTCCTGTAAGGCCAGGGTGCCCTGAGTACTAAGAGCATGCCTAAGACATGTCTATGGTTTTCCTTTCCTTCATAACATGTCTCACAATCCATAATTTGCTTCTCAGCTGTCCACCAAGAGGGCAGGGGCCTTGTCTATTCTGTTTGTTACCATACAACCAGCACTTAGTTATGTCTGGCACATGAACGTGCTCAAAAAATGTCAGCTGGGTGAGTGAATGAATAAATGAATAAATCTCACACAGTCCAACCAACCTAAGGGGAAGAGGGGAAAAGAGGAAAAAAAACCCTCACAAAAGTGAAGACGACAGTGATGGACAGGAAGAAAGATGAGCATCAGTTCCATCAACTGGGGGTAGACTTGATGCCAAAAAAACCCTGCCATCATTCAACAACTGGTGATACCTGTTTGGAGGTTCAAAATACCTGAAAGATTTTAAATGAAAGTTAATATTAAAACAAAGTGTTCTCTGGAAGATTCATTTGCAAACAAGTTAATGAAAACCCTGCTACTACATCAAGATGTTAACAGGAGCCTAGCGTTGTGATGTTTCAAGATGAAGTGGACTCTGTTGAATACACCAGGTGAACGTCTAGAGTCCCATAGAGGGAGCGTAGCACACTGATGACTTTTTCTTGAATCGTGTCAACTTGCTCAGAAGGACAGTAATCATCCAGACTTGACCTGGAACCAAGCAGAGAAAGAGAAAGGAAAAGAAAAATACACATAAATAGGATGAGATCATACTGTGAAGTGAGGAAAAGCCTGCATGTGTTGACTTCAGTGTAAATTAGAAATGAAGAAGCTGTGTTGAATTTTGGTATAATAACTGTTGAAAGCTACTAAACGTTTACTCTATGTCAGGCGCATTACATGAATTATGTTCTTTAATCTTCTCAGCAACTCTATGAAATAGGTATATTTACCATCCCTTTAAAGGAGTCTGAAACAGAGAAAGATTAACCTGCACAGGCCACATACTAGTAAGTGTTGGTGATGGGATTCAGAACCATACAGCATGTCTTCAAAGCCTCAGTGCTTAATACTAGACTGTTGTTTCCCTGAAAGGGAGATTTTGCTTGGGAACACTGGGGCTAATTATATTAGTGACTGGGCATCATGTTTCACATTCTTTTATTATGTGTACACTCAGGCTAGAAATTATGACGGTAGAGGCATTCCAACCGATAAAAGGGTTCTGCTTCTATAAACAATCTGCTAACCACACAAGCGTACAAGATCATCCAAAATGAAAGGTGCGGATGTGCTGGTGCTGGGATTAGTCTCCTATGTAGTATTAAGAGAAGAGAGTAAAGTGCGATGGGGCAGGAATCTGCATTTTGGGTCTTTCTAGAATCACCAACTGTAATTTGAGTGGCACCAGCCAGTAACAATGTCGCTGATAATTTTAGCAGGATTAGTATCTAAAATGATTTTATCAGTGTCTCCTGGTTCTAAACTGGGGTGAGGAAATCCATTGGCAATCCCACTGGATTGGAAAATGGCATAGAAATCTTTATAGGAGGAAATGGAATTCGTTATCTAGCCTACTCCTTATCACAAGTATTTTAGACCTAAAGAAACAATCTGTAAGACTTCAGATGAGCTCATTTCATTCTATGGTGATTAGGTTATTTTTGAGGCTTGATGTAAGCAATTTTAAATTATTAAATACTGTCTAACATACACATATGGATAAATGTCTACTTTAAGAAAGCAGGATATGTAAAAGTTTGATTTATTAGCCTTAAAAAATCAGGGGCATTTCAATGCTTTCACAACGATTTCTGGCTTCTTTAAAACAGTATTAGAGTAGCTCTTGATGGGAGCTACCCACAAGTTTTGGAAATCTGCAGGTACAGTTTTGATTGTCACAATGACAACTAGGGGACCAGGGAAGAGGGCAGGGCTGCTTGAGTGCTTGCAATATGCAGGATAGTCCTGCAATGTGAATATGAATTGTCCTGTGTCCTGTACAGTCTCCAAGGTCCACGGAGCACTTATATAAGTGAAAAACCTGTTTTTAATTTTTTGAGCCTAGAATTTAATACTCTTCTACATATGAACAAAGTTATTTTTGAAAATGGATTAAACTAAATTTTCCAGGAATGCAAATACTCTGTGAATTGAGGGAAGATTGGACTTTAAGTTCAGAACTTTACCAAGAGGTTCTTGTGACTAGACTAACCATATTGCCATGGCAGTGCTGTTCATGGTATTTGGGCAACATGACACACTGCATCTGTTGGCATTTTTAACAATTGCATTTAGTGACTCTTTGTAAAGATGCCAGTTTGGTGTGGCATCTTAATATATGTTACTCTATTATCAATTACTTTCATTTCTCCTTTATGTTACGATTTTTTTGCTGTGTGGATATATGAATATATATTTAAATTATGTGTATAGGTAGGTTACTGCTATAAACTAAATGTTTGTGTGCCCCAAAATTACTATGTTGAAACCTAATCCCCAATGTGATTATATCTGGAGGTGGAGGTCTTTGGAAGGTGACTGGGTCATGAGGATGGAGTCCTCATGAATGAGATTAATGCCTTTATTAAAGAGGTCCTAGAGAGCATCTTCACCCCTTCATTTTATGTGAGGTTACAGGGAGAAGATGGCTGTCTATGAACCAGGAAGCAGGTCCTCACCAGACACTGAATCTGCTGGTGCCTTCATCTTGGACTTTCCAGCCTATAGGTCTTTGAGAAATAAATTCCCATTGTTTATAAGCCACCCAGTCTAAGATATTTTTGTTATTGCAGCCTGAATGGATTAAGACGATATCATCTATATATTATAAATGCTATCTAAATATATTTAAATTATGTGTATATAGATTAGATTATCTATGAATTTCATTCAGGATGGTAAAAGAATTCTCATAAATATTTCTCATAAAATATGTAATATTATTTGCCTGAGCATTTAAAGTACTTATTTTAGAAACTCAGTTACATACAAAATGAGTCCAAAGATTAACATAGAAAAGAAATTTTTATTAAATTGTTATAACTATTCAGCACATTAGTACATTCAAATTTAAAACGTGGTAGCAGCTAAATATTCATCTGTAGGACACAGAAATGGGAATTCTTATGTTCAACTGAATAACATCACCAACTTCAAAGACAAGATTAACAGGAGTTGTATGTTGTTTGCCAACCATCACTAATAGGAAAGAGAAAATATAACACCTGAATTTCGAGCCGAGTAGGTAAAAAAAATTAGTAGGTAAGGACTACTGCATTAGTAATCATTAGATTCATCTACGGAGATGAATTAATTTCCCACTGCCGTTGTAACAAATTACTACAAACTTAGTGACTTAAAGCAAAACAAATTTATTACCTTACAGTTGTGTTGGAGATCAGAAGTCCTAAAATAAAGGTGCTGTCAGGGCTGTAATTCTTCTCTAGGCTCTAGGGAAGAATCTGTTTCCTTGTCTTCCTGGCTTCTAGAGGTTGCATGAATTCCTTAGCTCAAAGCCCCATCCTCCATCTTCAAAGCCAGCAGTCTAGCATCTTCCAATCTCTCTGATTCTGACCTTCCTTGTCTTTCTCTTATAATAACCCCTGTGATTACACTGGGCTCACCCGGATAATCCAGGGTAATCTCCTCAATTTCAAGCTCCTTGGGTGAACCAGATATGCAAAGTCCCTTCTGGCATATAAGGCAACATATTCACAGGCTCTGGAGATAAGGATGTGGACATATTTGGTGAGCCATTATTCAAGCTACCACACTTACCTTGCAATTGTCACTACAGTAGGTTTTGGCAAATTTTTTAGAATGTAATACACAGATTGAATAAGATATTCAATTTCTTGTTCTGTGCTGACATGGTGAGGAAGTTCTGAATAATCACAGGTTAGACCAGCCTGGTGAACCTGAAAACAAGACAATTAAAAATTACAAGGTAATGTTGTTGTTTTCAGAAGATTCTTTAACCACTTATGGCCTTGCTGACAAATTTTTAATATTTTTGTGGATTAGGATTGTTTCTTCCTTAATAGTTTCCATGCCATAGCAGTTATTTATACTTCGAAGTTTTGGAAGAACTTGTCTGTACACCACTTTGGGCCTGATGCCTTTTCTAGGAATAATTCTTTATTTTATGATTGTGGATTCATTCAGTTTATCTTTACTTCAGTCTATTTTGATAATTTACATTTTCTAGCAAATTGTTCATTTCACCTGGACTCTAAAAGCTAATATAAATTGGTACATAGTATTCTCACCTTACTTTTCTTTCAACAAATTATATTTACTTATTTTTAACAGATTTTTAAAAAATTACTTTATTTTTGGCTGCATTGAGTCTTCGGCGTGGCTCATGGGCTCTAGAGCGCAGGCTCAGCAATTGTGGCGCACGGGCCTAGTTGCTCTGCGGCATGTGCGATCCTCCCGGACCAGGGCTTGAGCCCACGTCCCCTGCATTGGAGGCGGGCTTCCAACCACTGTGGCACCAGGGAAGTCCCTATTTACTTTTTTTTTTTCTTTTTTGCGGTATGTGGGCCTCTTCCGTTGCGGAGCACAGGCTCTGGACGCGCAGGCTCAGCGGCCATGGCTCACGGGCCCAGCTGCTCCGCGGCATGTGGGATCTTCCCGGACCGGGGCACGAACCCGTGTCCCCTGCATCGGCAGGCGGACTCTCAACCACTGCGCCACCAGGGAAGCCCCCTATTTAATTTTTAAATACACGTAATGAGTACTACATTTAAAGCTTCAAGACGATACAAGGGGAAGACTTCCTCCTACCTTACTGAACCTACTGTTTTGAGTTTCTTGTGTATGCTTCATGTGTAACCATATATACTGATATCTTATACATGTGTTGTAAATATAAACGACTGGTGTTCCAGTCTTAGCACTAAACTAAATGTGCCTAAGAGCTAGAAATGGCCCACAGGCTGACATTTTGCAGTCTCTGCATTAAAGTTTTGAAAACTGGAATTCAAATATATTGTAGTTTTGCATAGGGTACGTAAGTGCAAAGTATGGAAACAAACATTAATCTACTGTATTATTGGAGGCTCTGGATACACATCAAAGATTTAACTGGCAATCATCAGTCAATGCACTAAAAAGAGAGACTCTGCATGTTCTTTTCTACTAAAATGATCAAAACACCTAGTGTTCTAACCCTGAAGCTATGGGCACATTATATTTGATTACATAATCTGCTACCAAGCCTATGCTATCCTTTTTCTCAACAAACGATGTACAAAACCTCACCCCCTCCACCACCAGAAAATTCAGGTGCCATGTGATGACTAAAGTAGACCTGCATGAAGACACATTCAATAATATCACGTGAGCTCAAAGGAGTTTTAAACCCTAAATGTCTTCTATCATTCTTAATAATTGCCATTAAAAAAAAGGGTGAGTCTTGAGTTATCTCTGATTTAACCAAAATATTCTTTTGCTGGTATGTTTTATTCTTACAAAGTTAGCATTAAATAAATACATAAACTTCAGTTCAAATAAAGTGGTTTGATTATATTCCACAAAAAAATAAAACACTACAGCAAAACCACAATTTATTAAAGTAAAATAAACACCAGAAGTAAAAGAAGCAGAAGACCTGGCGGTCTCAGCTCTGGCACAAAATTTGAGAAAAGGTACCTGAACTTCAAATGGGAAAATTTATGCTTAAATACTACAAAATGATATAAAAATAAAAGAAATTATCATTAAAGGCATCTTCTTTTGATACAGCATTCAGATTGCTGTTGGCAAACAAACTTATACAGCTAATACAGTTAAGATGTGCTGGCCACAATGGCTTCTATTGTCCTTCTATTTGGTTTTTACAATCAGAAGTTTTCAGAGAGAGAGGAAAGAAAGAAGGGGGAAGGGAGTATAAAAATGAACCAACAAAGAATGAGCAAATGTAGAAATTTTCTTTTCTAAAAGAAATCTTTTCTCTGTCAAGGAGAGATCTGACCATAGGCAAAGTTAATAAATCCACCGTACTTTTGCTTCATACATAAAATCGGCAAAAGTGTGTTTTTCCTGGAAAACTTTTCCAGTGTTCTGGCTTCTAAAAAGTATGTATTTCTTTCACTTCTTCTTCTTTTTTTTTTTTTAAATCCACTCACACTTTCCAGGAACACAAATAAAAGTGAATCACTTTAACAAAGAGCACATTTTTCTAGCCAGAAAAATGCCTTTCTTAAAGGGTCATTTTATACTTCAATGTAAGTATTTACCATTTCATAGTCTGGAGCTTCCATCCGTTTTTTCAAACTTTGTACCAGTGGAACTAGTGATTCCATTCTGGAAAAAAGCACCCCTCAATTAAACATCACATCACCTCAACTTATAGTAGCAAATGAAATTTACCATTAACAATATGTTTCATACGATTCTTGGGAAATTAAAATTGTTCAAATATCATCTTAAAATATTAAGAAACAAAGGTTCCCTGCTGTTTTCTTTTCTTTCTTTTAAAATTTATTTAATTAATTTATTTTTGGCTGCATTGGGTCTTTGTTGCTGTGCACAACCTCTCTCTAGTTGCGGCGAGCGGGGGCTACTCTTTGTTTCGGTGTGCGAGCTTCTCATTGCTGTGGCTTCTCTTGTTGCGGAGCACGGGCTCCAGATGCGCGGGCTTCAGTAGTTGTGGCACGCGGGCTCAGTACTTGTGGCTCGCAGGCTCTGGAGCGCAGGGTCAGCAGTTGTGGTGTACAGGCTTAGTTGCTCTGCCGCATGAGGGATTTTCCCATACCAGGGAACGAACCCACGTCCCCTGCATTGGCAGGTGGATTCTTAACCACTGCGCCGCCAGGGAAGCCCCTCCCTGCTGTCTTCTTACTTAAAAGATTACAGATTGTGTTAAAGATTAAAAATTAGCACTCAAGAAACTGACATTTTCCTCTTCTTTAAAAATGGAAGTTCTACTGTGACTTTAAAAATTATTTTGATCAGCAAGAAAACTAAGTGCCTTTAGCATCCTGTGATGAGAAAAGGTAGTTTCCCAAAAGTTAAAAAAAAAAAAATTAAGGACATTTTTATTGACATATACAATTATAACTGGAAAAGTTTTATACTGTCTGATATAATAACAATGGTGCTTTTAAGTTATTTAATATAGATGGAACTCTTTGGAAGCCCTGATTAATTAGTGTTTCTAGTATTTTAATGCCACCTCTACCAATACCCACTTATCTGCTGGGAGGGAAAAAAATAAAGACAAAAGGAAGGCATGGAGGCCTGTCTACCCACTTACCCTATTACTTCTCCCTTTCTGGGCTTCGGGACCCTAATCACCCACCTCTTCTATTTCATTAGGAATAGTGAAGACTCCTTCATGCTAAGGGTCTGACCCTTTAGGGGCATGGTAAGTTTGGGGAGACGTTTCTTGTCGTCTGACTCACTTTTCCTTTGTGCTATTCTTTTTTTCCTCCAATTCCAGTCACAGTTTAAACTCACCACTGTTGTAGCCTTGTTGTTTCTTCAAGGCTGTGACAGAACTGCCTGCAGGTGGTGAAGAGCTAAGTGTGCTCAGTAGGCAGGTGGGTTTCAGTGGAAGGTGGCTAGATTCAGGATTCTAAAGTTGTCAGGCTATTTTTTTTGTTTTGTTTCATTTAAATTTTTTTTTTGTTTTGTTTCATTTAATTTTAAACTTGGCTTAAGACTTCACAAAATCACAATATAGTAGGTACTCTTCAATATTCCTGGGAAGAATCATGTCCTGTGACTTATTTCTATATCTCCATCTTCCATCATAATTTCAAAAAGGAGGGAATCATTTTTAGATCTAGCGCCCTATACTGAAGAGGAAAAAAGTGCCTGATCAGTATTTACTGATATGATTAATACTACTATGGTTTATTCTTCCATACCACTGCTTTCCTTAGTGACAATAAAGTTTTACGATACTTATATTTCAGGGATGTTTCTGAACATTTTATTTTTAAGTGAAAATTGCACAGAATATTTTAAATAGGTAATACACATAGCAAAAGAAGATACTAATTTTAAAAAAAATATTTATTTGGTTGCACCAGGTCTTAGTTGCGGCAGGCAGGTTCCTCAGTTGCCGCTCGCCGACTCCTTAGTTGTGGCATGCAAACTCTTGGCTGCGGCATGTATGTGGGATCTAGTTCCCTGACCAGGGATCGAACCCGGGTTCCCTGCATTGGGAGCGCAGAGTCTTAACCACTGTGCCACCAGGGAAGTCCCAAGAAGATACTAATTTTTCAAAAGCAATTTAGCAAATTTAGCAATATATCTAGGATTAAATACAGCAGAGTTGGAGAAAAAAAAAATTGAGGGTCTTACCTAGGATATGAAGCCCATTTCTGTACAGTTTCTTCATCATCACCATCACACAAATCAGCAAAAGCAGCTTCTAAATCTTCTAATTGATGAATTCGAGTATCAACACAATCTACCAAATCTTCCTTTAAACACATTGAAAAGCCGAGATTATATAGTTACTCTTTCAAAAAAACAAGTGAAATCCCATTACAATGAAAATTTGATTCAATTAGTTAAAACGTAATTTTTCAAGTACTAACCATGGGCTTCCCCAAGAAACACACACCAAGATTTTGGACAGTTGTGTGTGAGTACTCCAACACCATATAAGCTATTATTAGATATGTGATAAATAGACAAACACAAAAGAAACAAATGGAGGATACCTCTGTCAGGTCGGTACCAGGCTTTTTAAATTGGTACAGCTCTTTTAAGATTTTGTACTCCTCCTGGAAAACAAAACAAAAAATCCATATACTAGAAAAACGATTAATTTTTCAATGATATGCTTTAAATAAAAAAATGGCTGTGATACAAGAACATCTTAGATAATTATTTAAAGGTTAGTCAGGGAAAATCAGGGAATATGTATAATTCATATTTCATTGTAAATATTACCACTTCTTTAGGGTAACTCTATCCATCTGGGCATGACAAGAATGTGTAAAAATTAGCTATGGAAGAAGACTTAATGGCTAACAGGTAATGAGATGAAAATATTTCTAATAATACTCTACTCTATAAATGGATACATCCTAGGGTCTGAACAGATTTTCGCTATTTATGGGAAATATACATGTCTTAGTAACAACAACAAAACTCTCCATGTTCCCTTTGCAGCTCTTTCCCTAGCCACAGAAGAGAGCTCTGGAGTACAAAGGCAATCCTGGAGGCAGATGCAATGGAAGGATTTTGCAGGAGAATGTCTCCCCTTATTCAGCACAGCCAGGCAGCCCCACTATAGGTAGGTATATCTGGCCCCAATAATCCTATTTAGGAGCATTGTCAGGCAGGGGTTACACATAAGACCTAAAATTCCTTAAGCACAAAGCTGTGCACTATCCTCATCATAACAATCCTGTGAGCTGGGTATGATTATTATTTTGATTTTATACTTGAAGAAACTGTGGGTCTGAAAGGTTAAGTAATTTCCCCAAGATCATACAGCTAATAAGCAGAAGTAACAAACAGAACTTAACTCTTTCTGACTTCTGAACATGTTTTTTTAAAAAATAGCTATTAAACTATAAGGTATAATACATGCTCTTTTCAAAAAGTTCTACAGAACCAAAGGATATAGAGGAAACAATATCCCCACTTTCTCAAGTTTCCTTATAGCACAGGAAAAGGAATAACTGTCACTAAGTTTCTTATGTAACCTTTTAGAAATTCCCATTACAAGTATTTGGTGAGTATATTTGTAGGATAAATTCATAAAGTCAGGTTTTTTAGCTTCCAGGTATGCCCATTCTCATGTTTTCTAAATATTTCTAAGGTCATTTCATAATTCTGAAAGCTGGTAGTTATAGTCACTGGTCCATATACAATAGTAGGAAAGAAGCAGAGGGCAATTTTTCCCCCTTACTGCAAAAAGCTGGGAGAGCACTCTAGTTCCCCCATTCTTGATCCAGATTGCACTACAGTTGACCCTTGAACAACACGGGTTTGAACTACACAAGTCCACTTATACATGGATATTTTTCTGTATATTGGAAATGTTTTTGGAGACCTGCAACAATTTGAAAAAATTTGCAGACCAACTGTATAGCCTAGAAATATTGAAAAAATTAAGAACAAGTATGTCAAGAATGCATAAAATGTACATAGATACTAACCTATCCTTACACAGACACAAGATGAATGATATTACTATAAAATTAATAATGGGTTAGTTTTCCTACTGTTTTACAACTTTGCTTTCAAAGAATTACATTACTGTACAGTATGCCCCTCTCTCTCCTAATTGGAGAAACTGCATATCATCTTATCACATAAGTGGTTTTTAAAAAAATATAACAATGTTTCCAATACTGTACTATGAATATGACTGTAATACTGTATGTCATAAAATTTTTATAACGATTCATTCATTAGCATAGAGGCTAGACTACCGTGAAGCAATCATGTCAAATTACACTAGGCTACTGTAAAGCAATCACATTGCTGCTTCCTCATTATCAATGCATGAATCGTTATAACTGTAAATAAGTATGACTTCGTCGCATTATTTTTTCATTTTTGATATCTAGTGCTAGTAATACATATAACAGTGTTTTGTATCATAAGAGACAATACTGATGTAGGTTCATCTTATTAACATGATATAAACTTATGGTATAGACAAATACAGTACAGTACTGTCAATGTATTTTCCTTATGATGTCCTCAACATTTTCTTTTCTCTAGCTTACTTTATTATAAGAATACAGTATATAATACATATAACATACCAAGTATGTGTTAATTTACTGTTTACATTATCAGTACGGCTTCCGGTCAACAGCAGGCTATTAGTAAATTTTGGAGGAGTCAAAAGTTATACCTGGATTTTTGACTACACAGGGAATCGGCACCCCTAACCTCTGTGTTGTTCAAGGGTCAACTGTACATTCTCCAATTTTACCTATTTTTAATCAGTACCTATTAAAGATCTTTGATAATTTAGATAAATCACAATGGCTTCCGATATGCACACAGAACAAGGAGTGTAAATTGCAACATCATTGTCATGAATCAAATACTGAACTTAGGTAGAAAGAAGACAGTTAATTTGAATCCCCAAAAGAACCAATCTGGAACAACCTCCCATATGTTAAAGTAAGCAGTTATATGTGCTCATAAAATGCACCTGGGAATGCTCACTTGGATCATGAATTTACCAGTTTCTTAAAGGCACACATAGTTCTACCTCAGATCTGTGCATACTAATAGTGTCTCGTGATTTTCATTTAAGATCTGATGAGGTACCTGAAGGATCACAGGACTGAAGCATTAGCTACAAATCATACATGTGTAATCAGGCACCTCAATGTTCAGTGAAAGATCTGTCACATGGGGATTGTATATACATAGAGTATCTCTGGAAAGATATACCAAGAAACTAGCCATGGTATTTGTTTCTAAGAAACTGGGGGAATGGAGAAGGAGTAAGAGAGTGACATATACACTTTTTAACGTATACACCTTTTTGTACTACAGCTGACCCTTAAAACACCATGGGTTTGAACTGCATGGGTCCATATGTGGCGTTTTTCAGTGAATATATACTACAGTTCTACACGATCCACGGCTGGGTCAATCTTCAGATGTGGAACCGTGGATACCAAGGGCCCAGTACAAAGTTATACGCACATTTTTGACTGTGCGGAGGGCTGGTGCCCCAACCTCCATGTTGTTCAAGGGGCAACTGTATATGATTTTATTTTTTTCAACCACCCGTGTACACACTACCCCAATTAATAAATGCAAAATAACACTATCTAGAGCAGGGATTAGCAACCTATGGCCTACAATCTGTTTTTGTATATCCCTCCAGTGGGTATAAAAAAATTGAACAGTATTGACAATTTTAAAGGGTATAAAAACAACAAAGAATATGTGACAGAGACCACATGGGGTCGCCCACAAAGTGATTACTATCCGCCTGTCTGCCAAAAGTTTCCTGATCCCTGATCTACAGAAATTTCATACAATTCTCCAGAGCCACGTTTTAAAAATACCACATTTGGGACGTCCCTGGTGGTCCAGTAGTTGGGACTTCACCTTCCAATGCAGGGGGCGAGGGTTTCAATCCCTGGTGGGGGAGCTAAGATCCCGCATGCCTCGTGGCCAAAAAACCAAAACATAAAATAGAAGCAATACTGTAACAAATTCAATAAAGACTTCAAAAATGGTCTACATCAAAAAAAAAAAAAAATACCCCATTTACCTGAGTGAACATTTCTTTGAAGGGATTCTTGACTGAAAAAAAATCTAAGTCAATATCTAAAACAAATGCATCCCCTTTCTCCAAAATTTTCAGGATTTCTCCAGTGCTGACTGAAGTGTGGCATTCTTGGCTTTCAGAAGAACATGAACATGATGGTTGTAGACAAGTTTGGTCTCTTCTCTGTGTCACTGAGTCATCTTCCAGTCCTTCTGAACAAGATTCACCATTAGTAGAGGCAGTGTTCTCTGTGTCCTCCAGTGCTAGCTTTGGCTTCTTAGCAGAAGACACTGTGTCATTTTCTTCTTGATTGTTACAGAGTTTATAAGGTTTCACCATAATTACATCCAATTGTAAAGGTTTTTGGTTCTCTAGCTGGTCTTCAGTTACATAAAGACCATCACTTAGAAAGTAATGATCTGTACTTGTAACCCTGGATCAGAGGAAAAAAATATTTTAAAGACGAAAGGACAAATTTGCTGACATTTCATATAGAATTTCAGAAATACAAGAAAGGACATATTTGACAAAAACTGGAGAGCTGTCTCTAATATTTGTACTTCCTGTTCTTCTATGGAAATAGGGTTCCCCAAATTTTTAGCTGGACACACAACTGCCCAAAGTAAAGACCATATTTCACAGTCTATCTTGCAGCTAGGTGTGGCCATTTGACTAAATTCTGGTCAAAAGCCGTGAGTGGAAGAGAAGTGTACAGAGCCTCGCCCTCCCCTCCCCATCGACTGGCATGTGAACAAGGTGGTGGCAAGCCCCACTTGGACTCTGAGGACAAAGGTGATACTCTAGAGACGGGGGAGCAGCAAGACAGAACACACTGGCGTTCTCCAAACTGTAGGGCTGTCACATTGGCCCTGGACTGTGTGTGGTCAACTCTAACGTGAGAAAGAAATAAATGGTCCTGTTTAGCCAGTGCTTTGGATCTCTCTCATACCAGCTGGATCTTTACCCCAAAAAATCACTGAAGAGAAAAATTATATCTGGAAATAATTTAAAATAATAGAAACTCCCTCTGACATATTTCAAAGCTTCATTAAATTTTATATAACTATAATATTTTAATATGAAAAGCAACAAAAACTTTTGTGCATGTACAGAATGCATTTCACAAGTTGTAGATTTCTGATTTTAGACATATCAGCATGTTCTTAGCTTTTCAACTATATTATGCCTTGGTAAGTACTTTGTTTATTTTATTTTTTTATTTTTTATTTTTCTTTTGTGGTACGTGGGCCTCTCACTGCTGTGGCCTCTCCGTTGCGGAGCACAGGCTCCGGACGCGCAGGCTCAGCGGCCATGGCTCACGGGCCCAGCCGCTCCGCGGCATGTGGGATCCTCCCGGACCGGGGCACGAACCCGTGTCCCCTGCATTGGCAGGCGGACTCTCACCTGCTGCGCCACCAGGGAAGCCCTTGGTAAGTACTTTGAACAGCAAAACCAAATGCTTCTTCCAGAGGTAGGATCTACCCAATTAAAATAACGGTTAACATTTATTTCCCACCCACCCTCCTCTAGCATATACAGCCTTAAGTTTAAAAAGATTCAATTTTCTAAGAAAAGATTAATGACAATAAAACTAATGTCCAAGATTATTAAAAACTGTACCATCCTAAGAAAGACAAAGGCTGTATCCTCCAATCTAAATCTGTATTCTTCTTTAATAAGGAACATTTTACTTTGTTCACATCTGTACAAACACAAACATACATCTCAGACTGCATACCTATATGTGTGTCTTTTCCATAAATTTTTATTTGCAGGATTAACTAAAATCATGAGATAATAAAAATCTTCCTAATATTGTCATTACACATTGAGTATCAAATGTCTGTTTCAGATTGCTCAAAATTAATTTGATTTTGCAGAAACCTGTTACAGGTTAAATTAGGCCTACTCACCAAAGTACTTAATAAAAACCCTACCACTCTTTCATATAAACCAGTATTATGTATAATATTTGTATGTGGAGCCCTATTTAATTTGTTATTATATCCTCAATAAATACAATTTTTATGTATACACAGAAAAGTTACTTGTCCAATTGATAAGAACATACAAGAAAAGTTAATTGTATCATTAAGGATAAATCAGAAATAAAAAGTATCATTTTCAGTGAGATAGACTGTATTTCATTTTCAATGTATTACCATTTCATCCCACTATCCTTCAGGTTCTAGAAAGTCATGATTCCACTGCTTAAAACATTCATCCCATAACAAGAGAATTTAGAAAGCTAAGAACATTCTGATACTTCTAAAGATATTACAGTATCACAAGCTACATAAAACATTGGTTAAATAGCTTATACACCAAAAATAATTGCATATGTAACTCAAGTCAGAGAATGCTGCTATTTAATTTAGATTAGGTAATTATCTAGAGCTCACCATATTAATAAAATTAAAACCCCAAATCTACTTTTCAGCCACTGAATTTATAAAAAGACCAAAGTGAGATAATTTTGCTTTTTCATTGCAAATTGTTAAATTCAGCAGACAAAAGTTACATTGGAAGGAAATAATAAAATGTTATCATTAAATATATAAGTCTATAAGGTACTTCAATGATTTAATGGAGTTAGTCATCAATGGAGCCAGGTTTCCAGAGGAGGAAGATCATGTTATTCAAAAACCAACTTGACTAGCAACAAAATACAAATAATGTATGAAAAAGATTAAGAGACTTGCAAATTTGTTCCTGGTGTTTCGAGAACTCTTTTTGGAAGAGTTGAGGGCTAATCTGACCCCATTTTTGTGTGGAGATACTTATAAGGTATTACAGGGACCTAAAATCAGATAGAAGAAGTATTCAATCCCTTTCATACTCATAAATACGAGGAAATTACCTGATTGTTGTGGTCGAAGTGTCTTTGCCTACTAAAAAATGATGTCTGCCCTCTCTGATTTGCTGAGCCCATGTGGGATGAAGCCATATTACATGGGAAAAATGGCCAGCATAAACTGCAGGTATAATCCAATTCTCGATACTTAATTCTCTGGAAAGAAATAGAGAGGAAGCATGAAACCTGTTAGTAAGTAGGTTTTTCCAAATGTAATTTCATTCAGAACAATATTTTAAGACAGTAGGTCTCCAAGTGGGGTCCAAGGACCCTTGCAGGGGTTCCTGAGACCTTTTCAGTGTAACTAGTTCAAAACAATTTTTCTAAGAACACCAAGGCACTATTCCCCCTTTTCACTGTATTGACATTTACACTGACAGTACAATGCAATGGTGGTTGATGTCCTAAGATTAATCAAGGCAAAGGCACCAAACTCTACAAGTAGTCACTGTATTCATCACTACCAAGCACCAGTGTCCCAAACCCCCATCCAGTTTCACGTGAGAAAGTCTTTCATAATTTTATTAAACTTTGACCCTGAGTATACGTTTTAAAATAACCTGTGTGGCAAGATGGGAAGTGCACAGCAAGCACTTCTGTTACGGATTTTGAAGTACAGCGGTTGTCTCAAGGAAAAGCACTTGTAATTGAATTGCAAGCTGAACACCATTTTTCTTGAAAGGAAGACTGACTCATAAACCATAGTTGTTCAGACGTGAACCTGAATTGCTGGATTCTACTTTCCAACTAAGCTTTAAGAAATGACCACTTGTCAAGTTTTGGTATCGTATTAAAGAATATTCACAATTAACTGAAAAGGCTATGAAAATACTCTTCATATACCTCCACCAAAACAACATGTGGTAACGGACTGAATGCAGAATCCGAGAATCCAGCTGTCTTCTATAAAGGCAAATATTAAAGAGATCTGTAAAATTTAAACATTGTGGGCTTCCCTGGTGGCGCAGTGGTTGAGCGTTCGCCTGCCGATGCAGGGGACACGGGTTCGTGCCCCGGTCCGGGAAGATCCCACATGCCGCGGAGCGGCTGGGCCCGTGAGCCATGGCCGCTGAGCCTGCGCATCCGGAGCCTGTGCTCCGCAACGGGAGAGGCCAGAGCAGTGAGAGGCCCGCGTACCGCAAAAAAAAAAAAAAGAAAATATATTTGTTTTCCATAAAAATATCTTATGCTAACATATAAAGTCCTATTATTTTGAAATGAATTAATATCTTAAACATTTCTCAGTTTTAATTTCAAATATGGTAAATATCAATAAATATAGCTCACATTAAAAAAAACTCAAGATTTTTAAGGGTGTACAGGAATCCTGAGATTAAAAAAGTTTAAAAACTATTATTCTATGACTAACTGTACAGTCGTCATACCTGCTTCATAATTCTTTTTAATTTCTAAAATATAAAATCTCTAAATATAAAAGAGAGTAAGGACAATGGTAGAGCTACCACATTTCTTTAGAAATTAGGTCTCTGAGTTTTAGTTTTAGAGTCAACTAAAAGAAATGCAGTAGGCTAAAATTCATTCACACAAGCATTTATATTTTAATTTTATATTACAACAAGATAATTACTGCTATGTAACTTTTCATTTTATACGAGTAGGCTATATTATAACAAATACATAAGTAAAGAGACAGTGACACGATTTCAGGGAACTATATCACTGAAGCGAGGTCAGTAAGTCACTATTTAGAGATACACTAGGTATGTCTTTCCTGAAGAATGGACTACAAAATTTCACGTCCACCTCTATGATTCTGTATAACTGAAAGTCAATAGGATTTGTGACCTGAAAAGAAACAAATTGGGAGGTTGCAGGGACTCAATACTGGAAGAAAGGATACACAAATTAAAGATGCATTGCTTATACAATTATTGAACTATGTGTTCAAGACACATTTTCTTGTGCCTCCGTAACCAGACTTTTAAAGGGGTAAAGAAGAGTGAACTGGCTTAGGTAATTTCTAAAGTCTCCGACTTCTAAAATTCTAATTCTAAAGCAGAGGCTGGTAAACATTGGCTGGGCCACCTGTTTTTGCAAATAAAGTTTTATCGGAACACAGCCACTGACACTTGTTTACGTAGTGTTTACAGCTGCTTTCACACCACAAAGGCAAAAATAAGTAGTTGCAACAGAGACCATATGGCCAGCAAGCCTAAAATATTTACTATCTGGTTCGTTAAGAAAAAGTTTGCCCATACTTGTTCTAAATAAAATAAAAAAGGCAAACAAAAGCAAAACTCATGAGCTTAGCAAAGACTATTTCTCTTAATTGCTTATCATCTACTGCAAATTGTATTTCAGGTGCATAAAAGATCATTAACAAAAATCACATTTTACCCGAAAAGTGTTTCCTTATCAAATACAGTGTCAGCTGGCATATTCACAGGAATAAGGAGGTCTGGATGTGAATCAAAATGCACAAAACTTATATTACTTGCAGGAAGATGCTTTGAGCCAATGGCCCGGTATATAAAGGGCAGAACCTGTAAAAGACACATACATGCACACATTCAGAATTGGTACAGAATTCATGAGCATACACTCAATTGCAGACTGAAAAACAATGCTAAACATAACTGCACATAATTTGAAGCACACCAAGTTGTTAAAAAGTAGGGAAATATTAAATTTGTTCATTGCACATGGTTTAGACAATCATCTCAAGCTTTATTTTTTCCTCAGAACTTCCAAGTTACACCTCCAAAGGCTTTAATGGGCATCTCTCACCACCATGCTGCCTCCACCTCAAACACAAAGATAATGTGGGGAAACAGGCAGGACTGGTACTCAGGAAAAAACTGCTGGTTAATACCCTCTCTGGCATTAAAGATGTGTTCAAGCTACCTGGGTCTCTGGGTCTTTTCCACACCTTTAGGATGGTGGTGCAGGGCTATGTCGTCTATAAGGCTCTTAGTCTTGTTACGGTCTCTAGAGTTCTAAGTTTAAGACTGAATTTGAAAGCACCACCTAACCCATGCTTGCTCTCTCAGACACATACACACCGTCTCTAGGTCCTGAGAGACCCAACTTCCTTCGTATTCTCTTTACTTTATTCATCCACAAATCTGGAATCACCCTCTTCCTCTTTCATAGCCAGAGCATTCTCAAGGCATATGAATGCTATTTTAAAAAAAAAGTCTTAGACCACGGGACTGTCTCCTAGGCTTCCAGAAATCTAGATTAGGGCACCATTTTAGCTATTCCAAAGTAGCACTACCTCAGAAACAGAACATATCTTTTTTTTTTTTTTTTAGAACATATCTTTAGTGTCTATAAACTCGGGGCACCCTGTTAAAAGATTTAGGCACACACTACGTACACAATAATACTAACGGCCCTATGAGTGCTACTTTGCACCATTTCACAGGTGACAGTCCATATTCTTAACAAAAATCTCCCGGCTACACAGCAGGAGCGTGTAGGGAGGCCGGGAGACAGTAGGAAGCCTGCGTCAATGCGCAGGTTGAGGACTCGGGGCTGTGCAGTTACACTGCCCGCGTTCGACTCCCGATGCCACCAGAGCCTCGAGTGTTAGAGGAATTGCCCGACTCGTAGTAAGCGCCCCATAAACGTCAGCGCCTATTCTTCCAAGCTAACCGTTCTGGTGTTTTCCCCACAGCAATGCAACTCGCGTGGGTAACTAACGCTGGTTATCTCTCTGGCCTCCGATGGCCAGGCTCCGCCGCCTCCTTGGTCCTCGCGCGATTCTGCCCCAGGCCCGGCAGCCGCCCTCTCACCTCCTGATGATCCTCCACCACCCACACCGGGAGCTCATGGTAGCGCCGGAGCCGGGTGCACTCTCCAGTAAACTCGGTCATGTTTTCGCTCGAGGCAGCGTCCCAGCGAGGTGGACTCAAAAAGGTTTGCGCTGCGACCCCGCCTCCTCGCCCGACAGGAAACGCGCGCTCACCCGGTTGTGGTTCTGGATTGGAGGATGTAGGGGGCAGCGGGCGGGCGCCGGAGGGGTCGACGAGAACGATTGGTTTAGATGTTCATCGCTCTTATTGATGCACCAATCACCGCGCACAAGGCGCAGCGGCGAGCCCAAGAGCTTTCCCTCTTGTGGTCCGGCTTTCGCAGGTTTGCTTTTTAATTCTCTCGGTTTCCTGTTCCGGAGGCGCTGGCGGCGCTAAGATCTTGGCGGCTGCAATGTGAGTCTGGCTTTACTCTAACGGCGACCTCGCGGCCTGAGAGCCTTTTGTAGGTAAAAGGGGCAGCTTGCGGGTGTTGGAAGAGGGAGTGTTTCCAAGTGTCCTGATTTCAACGGGGCTGGAGTCTGGGGCTGGGGTGAGGGGCGCCTGGGAATTAGGATCGGGCAGCCCCTCTTCAGATCTGCAGCGAAGGGCGAAAAAGCGACTTTAGGCCCGGATCCTGCGAATAAATAGAAGTGAAAAATGAGATCTTTCTTTCATTGTGGAGCGCGTGCGGTGGTCCAGCCCTGGGGCCGCCCGGATCTCGGAGGGGAGTGAGACCGTAAGCTTACCTCGTGGGGCGCACGATCTGGCGGGAGATGTGAACAGCGAGACCCGTAATTTCGGATCAGCCAGCCGAAGATGACCGGCCTGGGGATTCAGCTGGGAGAAAGAGTGTTAATAGAAATGTAGTCACACTTTGCAACTTTTTCTACATCGACTGATGTTCCTGGACGTGTTAACTATGCAAAACAGCTCCCTCAGTTTCCCTGCTTCCAAACAGCAACTGAGGAGTAGGCACACGCAGAAAATAATTACTTTTCCACTTGCAGTGAGTTCCTTGACTTTTGACTTTTGTCGCACCCTAACACAGCCTGACTATGCCTTTAATAGATCAGTTTCATAATCAGTGTTTTCAGATATTCTGTCTCTAGAAACATACATGAGGATCTAATGGTGAGTCTTCAACAGCAGTCTGAACACACAGTACAGGAGTCTTGGTAATCCTGACTGTTGCCCACCTCTAGATTCAGTACATTCCTTTGTGTTCCCCAGGACCCTATGCATACCTCTTTTCTTGTGTTTATAGCATTATATTATTTTTTTAAATTGTATTTGTATGTGGATTCTGGGCTTCACGAGTCCTGTGGGCTCTGTGTCTTACTCATCTTTGAGTGCTTAGGACCTGTGACAGTGCCCCACATGTATAGACCTCTTAAATGTTGCATGAATCAGTGAAAATACCTGCTTTTTGTCTGGTTTTGGTAATGCCTATCTGTTGTGGATATATGCAGTAGGGAAATGTACAGTAGCAACACAGAAACATATCACTAGTGAGACAGTAAACATTTATTGATCACCTACTGTGTGCAGGACGCTCTGCCAGGGGCTGTGAAGGATACAGAAATGTTTGTGAATCAACCCGTTTCATCAAGGAGCTCATAATCTAGTGGAGGAGTTAGACATGCGCACACGTGACTGTAATATGAGGCAGTCTCTGGTAAGTGCTATAAAAGAATTAAGTACAGACTAAGAGCAACGGACGTGTAGAGGGAATGGGATTACTTCCTGAAGGGAACCAGGAAAGGCAGCACAGAAGAGTTGGCATTTGGCTTGGTTGGTGGGTAGAAGAAATTCAACGGGCAAATTCATAGGGTAGGGGATTTTAGAAGGGCAGGAGCAAAGAACAAGCGGGGTGATAGTACTTTGTATGTTAGGCAACTGGGAAAATCTGGGGTGATAGGCACTTCATGGGGAGGTTAATGGAGAATTAGCCTGGAAGAAGTTGGGACCAGATTGCAGAGGGCCTTAAATGCCAAGAGTGTGGTTTAAACTCGATTCTGTGGGCTCTGAGTAGCCTGTGGTGGCAAGATGGGCTGTCTAGGTCCTAGGTCTATCATGAGGGCCTTGAACTGAATAATAATCATTAATCAGATATTATTTGGTATCTACTTTTTATTAAGCACAGTGATTGATACAGCTAAATAATCTGAACCTATTTTCATGAGCCATTTGAAAATCTACCTTAAGCCTATCGGTAAAGCTTTTAGTTAGAAGGAAGATGCTTCTACATTAAAGCTTTTTGCAGTTAATATTTATTTGGGTTTTTTAAACATTTTGCTGAAGCCTAAGTATTTGGAAAGCCGTTCCTGTTTGTAACATTCTTCAGTGGAAAGAGCTGAGAATGAGAATCAAGGGAAATTGTGTTGACAAGATTATAGTTAAGTTTGAATTTGAATGCTGGTCTCTTTGTGAAGTAAACTGGAGTGTGGAGTGGGAGAACAGAAATGATTTTTTTCTCCTAGTCTTTTAGCAAATTGGAGATAGAGTATGCCTAAGTTTCCAGTCTTTTAAGCTACTGATTATTTTGAGTCAGCAAGACAAGTATTAAGGATATCTAAAAAGTTAGCTGTAAACTTTAATTCAGTTCAGCGTGCTCTTAATTTTGTTAGTATGCGAACTGCATTGGAAGATGCAAAATCAGTGTTAAGATAATTGTAGAAATGTTTTCTAGCATTAGCAGTTTGGGAATCATTTTTATGTCTATTTATTCTTTCTGTCTTCTAGAGCTTATATTCTCTGTGGAAGATGTGACATACCCAGATAATACGTCACCATGCAAGGCAGTACCTGGTGAGTGGTATGACAGTAATGGCAGCTGTTTTGGGAGAACAGGGAGAAGCAAACACTGGCACTGGGCCATTGAGGGTGGGAAGGGTTTAGATATGTGAGGAGAGGGGGAGTGTGTTCACGTGGGCCATGTACACGGCCTGCCCTGATGGCCCTGGCAGTTCTGAGGTGCCGGCAGACATTAAAGGTGGGATGAGGTAATGAGTTGGTGACCTGTAATCATTGTACGACCTGCCAAGAAGCAGCACAGAGTGTGTGAGAGCAGGGGACCTATCAAAACCCTTGGGGTGGTGACAGTGGCTGTAGAAAGGCCTGCAAGGGTGTTATTGTAGTAGCCAGGCAGGAGACGATGGTGTGAAATGGATGCACTCAAGAAGTATTTATGAAGCAGAAATGATAGGCATTTGAAAATAAAATTTTAACTAGAGGGGATAAGGGAGAAGTTGTCAGGTAACCCCTGGTATATGACTTGAGGACCAGTAAATGGTCTCATCTATTGAGACAGGAAACACTAAAAAAGGAGCAGGTGGTGGTGTCTTGAAGGGGAAGATCATGAATTCCTTTTAGGATGCATTAGGTTGAATTTGCGAGTCTGTGCTGAGTGGGGAGGAAAGTGTAGACAGGAAGATGCTGGTGCAGATGTAGAGACGTGGGGTGTGTGGGCGGGATGACATGGTGAGGTCATAGCAGATGGTTGAACACTGGGATGTGACTTTGTCATGCTGGAGGTGGAGTGGCTTTAGGGAGTGACAAGGACCAGGGACTGACCACGGCAGTGGGTTGGGTGGCTGACTGGGGAAGAGGAGTTTATTGGCCATGAGGAGGTTCCGCTATTACAGAGAACTCAGTATTAGATGGGTGGGATATGGCAGTGGCCTAAGGGATGGTCAGGCGTTTGTAAAACCCTGTATATATAGTGAGTTTTTCTTTTATCTTTTTCTTTCCTCCAACGAAGTCATAGAATGTCATTCCATCCAGGACGAGGGTGTCCCCGAGGGCGAGGAGGACATGGATCCAGACCCTCAGCACCAGCCTTCAGGCCCCAAAATCTGAGACTGCTTCACCCTCAGCAGCCTCCTGTGCAATACCAATACGAACCTCCGAGCGCCCCTTCCACCACGTTCTCCAACGCTCCAGCTCCCAATTTCCTGCCTCCACGACCAGACTTCGTGCCCTTCCCTCCACCCATGCCTCCATCAGCACAAGGCCCCCTTCCTCCCTGCCCGATCCGGCCCCCCTTCCCCAGCCACCAGATGAGGCCCCCCTTTCCCGTGCCTCCCTGTTTTCCTCCCATGCCGCCTCCGATGCCCTGTCCCAATAACCCCCCAGTCCCTGGAGCACCTCCTGGACAGGGCACTTTCCCCTTCATGATGCCCCCTCCATCCATGCCCCACCCCCCGCCTCCTCCCGTAGTGCCTCAGCAGGTCAATTACCAGTACCCTCCGGGATACTCGCACCACAGTTTCCCACCTCCCAATTTTAATAGCTTCCAGAACAACCTCAGTTCCTTCTCACCCAGTGCTAATAATAGCAGTAGCCCTCATTTTAGGCACCTCCCTCCATACCCACTCCCAAAGGCTCCCAGTGAGAGGAGGTCCCCAGAAAGGCTCAAGCACTATGATGATCACAGACGCCGGGATCACAGTCACGGGAGGGGCGAGAGGCATCGTTCCTTGGATCGGCGGGAGCGAGGCCGAAGTCCTGACAGGAGAAGGCAGGACAGCCGCTACAGATCCGATTACGACCGGGGGAGGACACCGTCCCGCCACAGGAGCTATGAGCGGAGCAGGTAAAGCACATGTGTGTTTTTTAATGAAGTGCAGAGGCCCCGGCACAGGCCATTTCTGTTGGTCAACAACCAAACCGAAAAGGTCCAGCTGTGCATTTCGGTTTATAAAAGGAAAAGCGTCCCAAAATTATCAACATAGATTCATTTCAATGAATGTAAGCCAGTTACTCTGCATAATACAGTTGACATTTTAATGATGATCAATAAAAGATCTTGTAGTTGTTTGTGTGGATGTTGTATTTAATTATGTTCAGTGTGATCACCATGTCAGGTTACAGCACTTGAGTTCTTTTGGAATTGTTGATCTGCATATGTTATCAGTCAGGAATCGAAGTAGTTAACAAGCCGAACTTGCTTTCTGATGTTTAGGATAAGTGGAAGTTTATCATATGTTGTTGCTTTCTTGCTCTGTTCCTTTATAAAATGAAATAATACGCATTATCAAAGGTACAGTTTTCAAATTGGCTTTTAATTTGATTTTGTTGCATTGAAACATATTCATACTAAAGAAAGTTGCATTTAAAACGTACTATTCCATTCCAGATTCCAT